GAAGCAGGGAATAAGCACACTGTTGATGGCAGACTTGGATTCGATAATCACTTGACTATATGAAATAACTGAGAGACGGGAAATGTGGCTCTGAGCTAAACCCTTTTATTGAATTTTTTTTAAAAAAAAAAAGTCCAACTTAAATGGGGATCCAAGGACTAGTATGTATTTCATGAGCTAATGACAATTTCATGATCCCAACACTAACAAAAAGAGCTATGGTCTGTAGGAACACAAAGTAATCCAGAGTGCTGGGGCATCACTTCAGAGGGGCAACATCTTGACAAAATGTGCAACTCTCCTCACACCTCAAGTAATTTCAATATAAAGCTTTTAGAAAGAGTTGGGAGCCATGGGGGATGGCTCAGTGGGTAAGGTTTTTGCCTTACAAGCCTGAGGACCTGAGTTTGAGCCCCCGGACCCTCGCTAACGTTTTAATCCCTCCCAGGAGATGGGAAGAGAAAACGGGTTTTCTGGAAGCTCTTGGGCCAGGGAGGTAGCGCACTGTACACAGCTGTAAACAGCAGAGATCCTGACTCACCTCAACATTCATGTCATAACATGTATGCACATATTCATCATATATACACAACACACAAGTCATATACAGACATACACAACACACTTCACACTCTTACACACCATACACACATATATACATACATACAAACACAAATACTCATACAACATACACACAAAGTCGACTATCCTAACTAGACTAGGGTCTTTGACAAGTATCTTGTGCATGCTTGTTTTATGCTACCAGCATGAACGTTATGGTCCTCACATCCACTCATCTGTCAACAAACACTTACCAAACAGCTACTAAGAGCCATATTATCAATGTACAGAACACCCCTATGTTCCTATCTCAAAGGAGTCACATACATGTTGAAACAGCAGGGGAAGCATTAGTAACACAGCTAACTAATATAAAGCCCCTGTAGCAGCAGAGGGAAAGGTCACAACTCAGACAGCCCCAGCTAACCTCCAGGGCATGGGGCGTAGATTCCCAGCTGTGTGCATGCTTAATTACTTAAGAAGGTAGAGACTGATGCAGAGAGAGAATAAAACACAGCCTGAAACTAAAGCTGACTTATTAAATGTAAAACTGCCATCTAGTGGCAATTTAAGACAATCCATTTCAAGTAACAGATAAAGAGGGTATGGAGATAGTGAGTGACACAGATTCTCAAATTTAGCAGAGTATTATTCTCAGAAATATGTTGTAAAACTGCTTTAGAATCATTTGTAAAAAAATAAATAAATAACAGAATCAGAAAAAAAAGTCCCCCAAAGTGGAGCAGGGGTGGCAATTTCTCTAAATGAAAGCAATGGTAAGGCTGCCCATTTTGGTGAGGCTATTAATGGACCCCTCTGCCTCCTCCTGAGTCCACTTCCAAGTGCCCATCTCTCAGCATCCCCCAGACAAAATGCCCAAGCTTCCTCACAAAGTGGGGGAAAGGGCACACCTTTAATCCCAGCACTCAGGAGGCAGAGGCAGGGGACATCTGTGAGTTCATGCCAGTCTGATCTACAGAGGGATTTCCAGGACAGCCATGGCTACACAGAGAAACCCTGTCTCAAAAAACAAAACAAACAAAAAATAAAAAACAAAACCAAAAAGAGACAAAAAGACAAATATTAAAATCAGGGAGGGATACAAAATTAAGTTGTAATAAAAAGAAAATTTTAATGTTTTGATTGTCTACAAATCAAAGAAGTAAGAAAAGTACTAATTTACAGGGAGGTAAAGGTCAAAATTAAAGAAAACTTCTAAAGATGATCAACAGACCAGCAGCTGTGTTTTTTAAAACAGAATATTTTAAATACAAAAGAAAAGCCTGAGCACAAAGACATACACACAACTGTAGTTTCTGTTCACATCTCTGTGCTATCGATGAAAATCTAAACGTCACTCACATAAGAAAACACTCCATGTCAACATTGTCCAAAACTGAACAGCCACTCAGAGGGAAGACAATGGACAGCATGTTTTATTTTGACTTTAATGGGAATGCTACTGATATTTACCTTATGCAAGACCATGTAAAGAAAAATATAAATTATCCTATAATTAATTAAAATTTTCTGGCACCTGATAAAATCGCAATACTTATAACAGATGTCCATGAGCGGTAGTGGTATACACCTTTCTTTTATCCCACCACTTGAGATGGGCACAGGACGATCAGGTGTTCAAGGTCATTTAACATGATGAGGTCAAGACTAGTTAGGACTATGTTGAGACTCAAAAAAAATAAATAAGTAAACTATTCAGAGAAACAAAGATCTTTAATTTTTTTGAAAATGGTAAAATGTTAAACTATCATACTACAATCAATATTCTCCAAACAAATGCTAGTGTGTAGCTGAGGCCCAAGCTTATGAGAAATAATGTTTTTAACTCAAAGGAGACATATAAAACAAATCAAATGCCAGAATAATTTTTAAAAACCTGATAAACTATGGCCAATAATGTGTGATAATAAAAGTTTGGATAATTATTTCAAAGGAATATTTGAGGGCCAGAGAAAATGTCAGCAATGTAATTTTTAATTAAAATATAGAGAATGAAACAGCATGGTTATGGCTTTATTTTTTTATTTATTTTTATTTTTTTTAACTTTTTTTTATTGCTTTATTGCTTTATTTTTTTTTTAATGAGGCACAATTATGTGTCAGAAATGTCAGCACTGTGGTAAAGGCTATAGAAAGCTGCGTCAAGGGGACTGTCTCCACACAGGGCAGCTGCGGTTTTATCTCCTTTTGAACACCATTGTGTGAGACCGGAATTGCGAAATACACGCAAGCACGTCCAGGGGGAAATACACGCAAGCACGTCCGGAGGAAATACACGCAAGCACGTCCAGGGGGAAATACACGCAAGCACGTCCAGGGGGAAATACACGCAAGCACGTCCAGGGGGAAATACACGCAAGCACGTCCGGGGGAAATACACGCAAGCACGTCCTGGGGGAAATACACGCAAGCACGTCCAGGGGGAAATACACGCAAGCACGTCCAGGGGGAAATACACACAAGCACGTCCAGGGAGAAATGACTGCTATGCACTAGCATCACGGAGAACAAGAGTATGGAACAGACTACACAAGGATAGTCCCATCACCAGTCATGCAAACCAAGGACACTATGGATGTTTTCAACAAATATACACATTTACAAGATTGTTTGAAAATTAAATACGACTTCAAATCTCTTAAAAAGTATTCATAACCATGCCAGATATTAAAATATCTATTCATTCCAATATTTCATTAAATGACAAAGCTTTTATCTCATACAAGTGGGTCATTCTAGAATACATTATTTCCTACTTCCACACAGCAGCTGGCAGCAACCTCTTCAACTACCAAAAGCTTTAATTTTCAGAACTGTTTCTTTGAAGAACATCATCACCACAGGCTTTTTAACAACTTAGGGAAATGACTTGAAACACAGGACACCAGTGTCTCAGATCTCCTGTTTAAAGCTTTCCAATCTTCGTAACCAATTATTGAGACCACTATCATTTTGCAACAAATTTCTCCTCAATAAAAGGATGCTTTGTATGTTAGAGAGTATGCGTGTACTATATAAAAAATTTGCTAGATTTGATATTTGAAGTTTTGATTTTTAAATACAAATGTTGAGTTTATGTAATTAGCCTCCATAGATATAGTCCTTGATTACTGACCAGATGCTGAACAAATAACCCTTAAGTTTCGTATTTAAGGTTTCGAACACAGCAGCCTTAAATGACAAGCTATACTTCAGATTCCTATTCCAAAACACTAGAGTTTTATTTAAAAAGAAAAAAGAATATTATCCAGAGAGCAGCAGTAAGGAAGGCAATAAACACAACACTCCTTCTTCAGCACTGTCCATAAACTGTGCAGTAAGGACTCATTCTGCAAGGGATGAAACTGGCCAAGAACAGACACACATCTGTCCCATGGCAGGTACCCAGTGAACACAAGGGAAGTGAAGTGCGAGTTCTGTGTGGGCAGCTAAGCAGGATCTGGAGTTGCAGCTACGATTACAGAAAATGAAACTGGGGTTATCAGCACAGGCTGTGCAAACAGAAACAGCAACACAGGAACAGTGACCAGTGACCCCTGGGAAGAAATGGACCCACTAGTAAAAGCAGAGGCTACTGCAGCTCAGTCCCCACATAACAGAACACCAACAATTCTCATCCAGTAAGGAAATGATGCCAACAAGAGAGAACCGCAAAGCCCGGACGGTTTCACTAGAAAAGTCCATCATGCCTTGCAGAATTAGCACCAGTTCTACACAAGGACTTCCAGAAGATGGAAGACGTGCCATGTTGTACCAAGTCAGTATGACCATGATACCAAAAGTGGGTATGGTGGGGGCAGTTAGGGAGGGGGAAATACAGCTTCCTAAGCACAAATGTAAAAATATTTTTCTTTGCTTTGTTCCTCTCTTCTGGAGCTGAAAATAGAGTCCAGAGCTTTCTGGACTGAACCACCACTGAACTGCAGCTCGTCTAAAATGCACACGCCCTCCACACATCTTCTCCACATGTGCCGTATCAGGCAGGACTGAGATCACAGGTGCTCAGCACTGTGCCCAGCTTAAAATGGAAAAAAATTTTAACAAAACATTAGCAGTTCTATTATTTAATCTATAAATGAAAAAGGGCTAATTTAATACCCTAAAATAAAACCTATGCAGAATATTAACAGGCTACGTAAAGAAGAAACCCCTGACTTACTGCTGCTGCTGCTGCTGCCCAGGCAATATCTGAATTGTGTTCCATTTGGATGAGATCACCAACAGCTACTGCAGCCTAAAGGAATGTCTACAAGAAGGTAGCCCTTCTTACCAACCAACTAGACTTTAAGCTATTTCAAACTGTGCATGATGAACAGCTAAGGTTTGGAAATCAGAGACTGAATACAGCTAAGGCAATGCTTCCATGCTGATCTCTGGTCCTGCAGGTAACTGCCTCACAGGAAGAACAAGAGGCTCACCGTAATTAAACTGGCTGTTGGACTTCTCACAGTTGATGATGTTGAACCTGTATGCAACGGCAGGCCGCATCCCGCTGACTTCAAAGTAGAACCACTGGTGATAATGATTACTGTTTATATCCGAGTTCAGAATGAGGTCATACTCGTTTCTAAAACACAAGACAAAGACACCTGATGGCAAGTCTGGAGTGTCTGCGCACACACAAAATGGGAATGTTTAAACGGCTTACTTTCTAATTTGAATTACTTTGCGCAAATTCCCAGATTCAAATTTTGAGTTAAACTTCAAAATATCTCCTTCTTCTGGAGTGGCATAGCTAAATAAAAAATTTAAAATAAATATATTAAAATATATCACACTTAAACAGATAAGCAAAGACTATAGAAAACAAGAAAATTCTGATGTCCATTTATAGTCAAATTATAATCACAAGAGTCTTGTTACTACATTTATACCCATAATAAGGACTTTGCCTTGCTGAATAAATGTCTAAAATACTGATTATCACATAGGAAAAAAGAAACTTATTTTTAGAACCGCCTGGTAAGTAGCCATAATTTTAACAAACTATGCAGTGTTTGCTTTTCACTAACATGGACGGTTTAAGGGATTTACTATCATCTGGTTGAATACCTACTTGCTGGGCACTTCTGTTGTCTGCCTGCCTGACCCTCAGAGAATGAAAACTCCTGCTCTTCTGAAAATTCTATTCCAAAACAAGAACGAATAAACTCCAAGAATCTCGGTATTTTTGTGCATCGTCACATCTGTTAGGAACAAGCTGGACATGCCCATGCTTGGGGTTCTGAGGTTTGTTTTCCACATCTAACAGGGAAGCATGAACAATGAAACAGCTACATGTTTAATAGGGTGTTATTCTTTCCTTGGGTAAGAATATTTTAAAGTCAAGGATGGCGGCATATGCCTCCTAAACCAGGAAGACTATTTTAAGTTGAAGGTCAGCCTGGGCTACACAGTGAGTTCCACATCAGCCTAAACTACAGGGGGGAACTCTGCCATAAACAACGGCAAAGACTATTCTAGACTCAGGCACCACCTTTGACGGAGCTTTAACTCATAGGTCTACCTACCACCAACCATTCTTAAGTTTGTTTCCTCCAATCATGAAAGGTAAGATGTCGGATTTCCTCAGAGCAGCAAGGAAAGGAGAGACCCATAGAGTTCACTCGACTTCTTTGAGTAGCTGGGATTTCCATGTATTTACTGCAGTTAGGTCCTGACACATACATACTATCGGTGATAATTCAAAAATAGCAAATGGCCGGCCTGCCAAGCCATAAGGCCAGGACGGAAACTCCAGTGACTGGTCTAGTGCTATTGCAATAAAGGACAGCATTTCCCGTGAAAATCCCATTCTTTTAGGTGGAGGTAGTTTCATTTTTCCAAAACCATGTTCTCCTCCTCCCTTCCCCACCGCCCTCCCTTCTCACCTCCTCCTAGTTTTCCCAGGAGGTCTTTTCTGTTGAGGCCCTTGGTCTTGCCTCATAATAAAGTGTCAGAATTTGCTCACTTCCCATGGGAAGCCTTACCCTTTCTGAGGAAAGGATGAGAAGGTGCAGGGGTGTGTGTGTGTGTGTGTGTGTGTGTGTGTACAAGGATAGCTATGTAAAATGAGAAAAGATTGTATTAAAAAATTCTTAATAAAAAAGAAAAAATCCCATTAAATGACAAAAACCAAAAACATGGTATTAGCTTACCTTTAATTTTCACCTTAAAAAAAAAAAGGGCTTGTCTTTCAACTTAAAGGAAAAATGAACAAGTTTTACCATGATCATCGGATAAAAACAGCAACAATAAGAGGGAGGATACGATAAAGGATAACGTGTCATAAGAACTTTAGGGCTCAGACTCACTTGGGGTTGTCCAGGTCATACACCACCCGGTCAATGATGTCACACTGGTGGATCAGCCTCTCAATGTCTTGGGCAATTTTTGTCCTGAAATCATAAAAGACAAACTTGACAAAATTTACAATTACAAGCCAAGGATACCAATGCACAACTTTCTCCAGAGTGAGTTTGGAGTGAAAGGGTATAAAATAAATAACTGTGTAAAATAAAAATAATCATTATTTTACTTGTATACAAAAAGCTAACACAAAAATAAAAAAATAAAAATCAGTACATATCAAAGCTTGATCTTTAAAAGCTAACCACATAAAATACAGCCACAGTCAAACCTTATAAAGACAGAGGGTGGGAGGGAGGCAAGCCTAGAGTATCTATTGGGCCTCTCTACACAGAAAACATATGGACTAACCGTTAGGCAAGTAATTCTGTGTGCATAACTGGAGGTAAGACAGAACCAGAGAGTTAAGACATCCTGCAAGATTTTGAAACACATGTATCTAGGAATTTAGCCCAAGAATCCAACCAGCAGAATGTTATGGAATATTAGTTGAAGATGTGCTACATGTGTTTATGCTGTGGAACATTTGTTTAATGGTACAAAGATGTGTTGCATTCTTTTATGTTGCATTTGTTTAACTCTGTGAAGCTGTGTTACTTTGCCTGCCTAAAACACCTGATTGATCTAATAAAGAGCTGATTGGCCAATAGCTAGACAGGAGAGAGAAAAAGATGGGGCTGGTAGGCAGAGAGAATAAACAGGAAGAAATCTAGGGACAACAGTGAGGAGCGAGAAAAGGAGGTGTGGAGGATGCCAGGGGTCAGCCACTCAAGCATACAGTCAGTCACTGAGTAAGAAGGAAGAAAGATATATAAAATAGAGAAAGGTAAAAGGCCCAGAAGCAAAATGTAGTTAAAGAGAAACTGGAAAATTTAAGTTAGAAAAGCTGGCTAGAAACAAGCCAAGCTAAGGCCAGGCATTCATAAGTAAAAACAAGTCTCTGTGTATGTATTTGGGAGCTGGGTGGTAGACCCCCAAAGAGCTGTCTCCTCAGCCCATCCTAAGAGGTTATAGACCCTATCAGGTTGACAATATTTGCCATCACATCTAGTTTCAAAGATTCAATTACAGTTTTATTTCACAACCCAACTAGTTTACCAGAGAGCATCTGTATGGGATTGGAAGTGCCTGCTGGAGCCTGCAGGGTCAGCAATGGACACAGTTGAAGATAATGCTGCCCCTCTCTTAATCTATCAGTACAAACGGCTCAGCTGTATCTTGCCCAGATGAATGGCATCTGGAAGTCCAGCTTCCTACCCTCTGACCTCATACTATCTCTACCCCCTTTTCCACAATGTTCCCTGAGCCTGAGGAAGGGACTGGGAGGAGCAGTGGGAGAGGACAGTAAGGCTCATGGGAAGAAGGAAGCAGTCTGCATGAGAACTCATAACTGTTCCATTGCCTGATAAAATGAAATGATAAATACGCCATATTTAATTTTACTGTTATTTTATCATTTACATTGAGTAAATATATATTTACTCAATATATATTTATTGAGTATAAATAAATTTATTGAGTGGTGTGGTGGCCTGCTTGTAATCCCAGTGGTCAGAAGGAGACACAGATCCTTAGAGCAAGCTGGCCTAGCTAGACTAGCTGTATTGGTAAACTTTCAACGAATAGGGCGGGAGAGCATCATGGAAGGTTCGCAGTGTCAGATGAATATGCATATACATTTGCATACATATATACATAAACAAATCTTATAACGGATTTTTTATTTTGCAATTGGGTCAGAGACTTCAACTGAATTTATTCTATACTTAATTTTTGTTTTTAAAAGATTAGGATCAATAATGCAAAGGTAAGAAAACAACAGAACTACAAATAACACTAAAATATTCCACAGGATAATTTTTTGAGCATGGGGTCTTGCTATGCTGCCCAGGTTAGCCTGGCTCAGCCTCCCAAGTGGCTGGGACCACACAGGTAAGCATTATTATGCCTAGCTTACTAAGTAAATTTAAAGGAATGGCTTGCTTCTTTCTTCTGAAAGTAACAAACCAATAAAGCTTCATTAATTTGACACCTTCCGTTTATAGTGTTACTAGATTCAGATAGGAAATCCATCACTTGCTTAGAGCAGGCTGAAAAAGACAAGGCAACTGGTATGAGCTTAGGTCAGCATCCTCAATGCATTTCAGGAACAAGCATTTCTGAAAGCTTTCTAAACAGCTGCCCGCTAAACACATTTGGTATTTCTGACTTGAATGTAAAACTTCAAAGCCATAAGACTACCGAGCTATAAGGGCCAGCGAACATCTCCTATAAAGAAAGGAGAGTGTGTATTATAGGCTGGAAAGCCATGGGATTTCTGTCACAATCCTCCAGTTCCGTCACTGGAGGGGTGGTCCCAAGGCTATCAAGTGAAGCATTAAGTGGTACCACATGCTACGGTAAAATGCACAGCTGGGGCTTAAAGACGCTTGTATTCCAGGATGTTCAGAGACAACAGCAAGGCCTCCTTTTCAGGACATACTACACTTCTAACAATGGTATATCAAAAACTGACCAGAAGTCATCTTTTAAAAATCACCAGAAACAGCAGAGACACTAAAAAGATTTATAAAGGGTTTTTGCATGCCGAGTATGTACTGGCTGCTAGCAACAATTTCTATATGTATTTTTGGCACATGAAATATCACCTCACTTAGTGCCTTTGTGAATACTGAATTCTCGTTCTTTATTTCCAGCTAAACTTCCAAATAAAAGAATGGATCCTAATTGCTTCATTTACAGCATATTTTAAAAGCATATCTAAACAAAGTATGAATAAAAAAATTACTAAATGTTGCTAAGATAGTATTTATTCAAACATCATTAAATAATCCTTCATACTTTTAGGTGCAATCTAAACCAAGTTTCTACATTATAACAGGTACTTATTATTCTTTCATTCAAATAAGTAATATGCTGACAAAATAAAGTAAGTTTATAAAATTACATTAATTATCATTGTATCCTCTGCACTTGCTGAGAATTGGCAAAGGAAGGAGTAGGCCCCTTGTCTCAGACTCAAGCGCCCTCAGAGATCCCTTGTCTTGGAGCAGATTGATACCCTGACCCTGTGACAAGAAAAAAGGGGACTAGCAAATAACTCAAGGGTAGTAAGAACTGCACCCTTGAGAACAGCTGTAGGGAAAACACTTGCAGTAGGTCACTACTATCTACCCCAGACTACAGAATGCCTGAGGTCACTAGAAGGAGGACACTACCTGGGACTCTAAATTGGTCCTACAGCTCCCTGTTTCAGCAAAGCCTCTCTGGCCATTTCTGATGGATGTTCTAAGTGCCTGATTTGATGTTATCTATCTGCTACCTGCTATATGTTCTTTTTCTTGCTATACACCCAATGAACTTAGTACTTCAAAATCCAAAGTATAGCAATCATAGCTGGTTCTCCAGACACAACTATCAACAGGGGAAATTTCAAAGCAACACAAAGCATCCCAACCAACGTACCTTTAACTTGCAGCAATCTTTTTCCTAGAGACCCCAGATAGAATTTGAGTATGCCTTAGGAGGAGGAAGAGATCTGCAGCTCACCTTTGTACACCATAAGGCCTTTCTAAAATGGGCTCTTTGAATGGAGGTGGAATGTGACCGAAATAGTCAGGATAAGCCACCTCTGAGTACTCTGGAACAGACTTCGTGCTTTTCACGATCTCAATGTAGAGGTCTGGGTCATGAAGCGTTGGTCCATCAGGGACTTCCACAGAGGAGGCCTGCTCGACTGACGAGCTGGACTCGCTATCTTCATCATCTTCAGTATCAACTCCAGTACAACAAAGCTTCCCAAGCTGGACCGTCCGCCCTTCAAAAAGAGTACTTCCGCATGTAGCCACCTGTGGACATGCTTTCGTGCACGAGAGGACCGTGAGAGGGAGACCACAGTCCTTCCTCGTGCCTACTTGTGAAGGACTGTTCTGCAAGGTGATCCGGTCCAAGGCCTTCACAATGTCACTGCTGAAGCTGTGAGCTGAGGAAGCAGTTCTATTCTGACCACGACTGCCCTTGCCATCTTCCTTGGCTTCCTCGCCCTTGGGAGACATCTTCTCCTTCAGTACAGCTCCTTTCTTTACACTACCTGAGTTTCCAGACGCTTCCTCTCCAGCCGTGGGAACAACAATAGGGCCTCGGACTTTCCCCTCAAATACAAGAGGTTTGGGTTCTTTAGAGATTAATTCATAGTCCTGTTTAAGAAAAAATAAGTTTAACCTGTTATCTGTCAGTATGCTAATACAAGTAAGAGCATATTTGTTTCACATACTACTTCAGAAACCTTTTTCTCATCTCCACGAACTCCAGGCATGTATATGGTGCACATATACATACATGCAGGCAAAACACTCACACACATGGAAGGAAGGAAGGGACGGAGGGAGGGAGGGAGGACGGAAGGAATGAAGGGTTAAATGAATAAACAAACAGAGGCTGGGAGACCACAAAACAATAGAATGCCTGCTTAGTGGGCATAAGAACCTAAGTTCAATTCTCTCCTGCCCTGCAAAAAGTAGCTTCCGAATGCCACCTACAAATGACATTCATTTTACTTCCACCCAGCAACTGAATAACCAGGCTTTACAAATTGGAACAAGGTGCATGTTGGTCAGGTGCAGACACATCTAGCTGTCACAGACTTCAATGGTTAATACTGAAAGCAACTAATTTCACATATACTTAATATAATATGATATACCAGGAATTGACTCAATGATGGCTGAATAAAATTCTTTCAAACACTATTAATAGAACCAATAAACTTTTCTAATCCTCAATATTTTTTCTTACTATTCATACATATATTTCAAACTCTGAAATTTAAAGGGAGAAAGACAACCAAATGCCAGAACAACTAACTCCTTTGGCAATAAATTCAGCTATGTAAATAAAAACAAAGTGCTATTTCCCTTATATATAGGACTAAATTAATTAACAACCTATAACTTAATGGCGAAATACACAACACACTAATAAATTTGCATTGCCTTACTTACTTGAAATAACAATTCAAGTGCTCTGACTCTAGACACATGTATCTTTACTTGCTACATTAACTGTCTTTGCTATCCTTACTCAGACCCAAAATAGAACCCCTGTGAAAGGGCCTCTCAACCCCCAAAAAGAAGTTGCACCCCACAGGCTGAGAACTACTGATCTAAATCCTAACCCTGACACCAATTATAAAATTACTATACCGTACTCCCACACCAAAGCAGTAATTTGTATAGCATTATATATTCCTATGTGCATATAATTATAGGAAAATAGGTGAAATCATCATATGCAAATCAATTCCTACTCAAAACAACTATAACACTACTTGTCTACCTTGATTTACAAAGTATTTATCTTCAAACGGTTCAAGTGAAACCAAACACAGAAAAAGAGTAACTCAACAGTTGTTCTAGGTTAAATGAAAGAAAAACTTACCCACTCCACACTCTGCCCCCAAATACCTCTTCCCCCACTGCTTCCCACTTGACCTCCCTGGCCCACCCCCACTATTTTCTCCCTGACCCCTGACCTCCTTCCACTATTCTCAGCTTCAAAGTTCCAATGGACTTCAAACCTACAGGAAGAGCAGAGAAAGAGGAAGCAGGAGGTCATCTTTTTCACTGTACTCCAAGGTCCTAAGTTTACTCCCAAAGACAAATGAAAAGCTGGTAAATAGTTCTCATTTATGTCTCATAAACTCACTGTAATCTTTTTCTTTAATCTACTGTGATTAAGGATATGGGATTTGGAGAACAACAACATTTATAGCAAAAGTTACTCAAGGCTTAGCGGCTAGCTAGCCCAAACACATACTTTCTGGCCTGGAGCTCATTGTGTAAAGCTGGCCTCTGAACTCATGAGATCCACCTGGCTCTGTTTTCCTGGTGCTGAATTAAAGATGCTACCATGCCCTGCCAAACTCACACTCTAACATCAGATTTCAGAGCCCAGCACAGTCACTACAGAGAGAATAAAAACTACAGTCACCCTGGCTGGTTGTACAACCCAAGCTGAATAACTCTATCTCAGTAAATGAGAATGAGGAACGCTAACACTGACGACCCAGATTTCAGGGCTGTGGTTGCCCTCTCCCTGTCCTGACCGCTGCCATGTTACACAGTAGGTACCCAGGGAAAGGCAGAGCTGCAGAACTCCTCAGCACTGCTGAAATGGGCAGAACTAACAAGGAAGGCTACAGCGTGATTTTACAATGCAATTTCAAGAACAGAAGAACTAAAGTGAGTATAAAATGTAAAGACTAGCCCAACGCTCTTCCTTCTTACAGGTCACTAACGCAGCCCAAAATGTCACTATCACGACCCAGTGTCATCCAGGAAAGGAAGATGAGTGTGGCTTTTCAGAAATGGTCTGTATTTATACCTGGAAATCATCAACGAGCTCAGGAAAGAGGTGCTCATACATCTTCAGTTCTTCTACTGTGCGTCCTGGTACTTGCTGGGGCTTTAACTTGTTAATATCTGTTTCAATATCATCATTCTGAAATAATAAAACATGTTATTAGTATAAAAACACAAAAATGTTAGAGAATATATTTTATATTTAAAGTGTCCCAAGATAATATTATTATTTATGATTAGTAAATAATCACTAATAAAATTTATATTCAATTTAATGGCAAATCGGTTCTTTTAATTAGTTATAGATTATCACTGCTGCTGATTTTGTTGTTTGGCCATGATTAATCTTAATGCAGCAGACAGTTTTCAGGCTCATCAAGACAAAAGTAAAATAAAAATAAAGATCACGTTTGTTCTCCTTAATGTCCCTATTATTTGTCTGTGAAGTAAAACTCAAGAAAATTAAATTGAAAACCTTTATACATAACAAAAATGGTGACAACCAAAGTAGCTAGCATCAGCTGGCAGGAACTACACTATCCTCTAAGTCACTCTGCGCACCCCATGAAATAGGCTCATTTCATCTCCACCATCTGACTGAGGATGGGAGTGGAGCACCAAATGATAAGGAGCAGGCAATCAGACAGCCTGGCATGAAGAATTAGTTCCGGAGGTTCCGAAGTTTACATTCTAGCCAGTGTGACTCTTGAGTAGAGAAAGACCAGCACACACTCTCATACTCCACACTCGGCAGACCCTCTGCACACCCCACTGTCACCATGCACACTGCTTCCTGCAGGCCAGGAAATAAAGAAGTGGTGCGAGTGGCCAACATCCAACTCTAGGAAAAGAAGAGAGTGCTTCAGGTGTGTCCTCAGACAGACGGGTGTGCTTCATGACAGGAGGGCAAGCGCCAGCTCACCTAGCACACCCTCAGTGCCCTCAAAGAGTCTTAACAACTGACCGCACACAAACTCATAACTTCCACATATGGGTAAGGAGACATAGAAAAACCAGTTACTAATTTTCAAGTGGGACTCATTTTTAATTTCCTCTTTATTATACTGTCACAATAAACTACTTAATTTCAATCCTAAAGCAAATTTATTTCACTATATTTAAATCCTTCCTATATAGTACCTAACTATATATGAACATTAATGAGTCATCTTAAGGAAAAATATATGATATTTCCCAACATTCTATATTTGGGAATTCACTTTTATTTACATAATCAATAAATAAGATTTTGTAATTACTATTGATAACAAATTGGTTTTGCCAGATGGTAGTGGCACATACCTTTAATCCCAGTACTAGGGAGGCAGAAGCAAGTGGCTCTCTGAGTTTCAGGCCAGCCTGGTCTACACAGTGAGTTCCAGAACAGCCAGGACTACACAGAGGTATACGGCTTACTGTTAGAAATGGCTACTTTAGCCTCAGGAAGGGAACCTGCAGTTGAGTTGTTTAGAACCTAAAGAGAGCCTAGACTAAAATCTCTGCAGAAAAAAAAAGCCTCATGCTAGTGAGGGCAATGCAGTCTGGAAGCCAACCACCAACCACAACAGAGCAGCCCCAGCTCTCTGCAGCACAGCCTTTCTCTAAGACACCGTGCACTGAGGATGCCCAAGTGTAACAGCCAACACAAGTCAGAGGCAGAGAGCAGTGCAGGCAAGAGAGGCTCATGCAGTTACAGCTCGCAATCTCAGCCAATGCACCATGGGCATGCAGAAGACATTTCAGTAGAGCACACAGCAGTGGTGAGGAGGCGGATCTCCACCACACTGCCTGGCCCTGTGCATACACAGCCACTGGTGCCTTGTCTACACTGCTGGGAGGGTTTGATGGTCACAGTGCATAAAGAGCTTGGACTGGCACATGGTTAAGTGCTCAATAAGTACTATTTTTTCTCATAACTATCACTGTTTTGTTAAGGCAAAGTAGACAGTATAACTGCAGACAGCAATAACTGTCACTGGTAAGTCAGAGTAAAATGGATGCCAACAACGGTTTTTCAAAAACACCAATGTCAAGAACAAAGAAATCGGTGGAAATGTTTCAGATGAATGAATGAACCAAGCGAGAGCCAATGAAATGCAGTATCTGAGGATAGATCCTGCAGCAGAGAGGGTTAAACAGCTCACAAGGGCATTACAGGAGCGAATGATCAACTGGACACAGACGGCAAGTTGGTAGAATGCTAACAGCTGAGCTGCAGTTATGGTGGCTGGCGAAGGACCAAAGGAGCTGCCATATCTAGCCCATGCTCAGATACCTACTTTTTAACATGTGCACTCATGCACACAGTTTCCAGCAGCTGAATCAGTCACTGTTCCAATTCTCCTCACTAATCTTTATACTCTTAATCATCACAGGTATTGTTAATCACAAGTGTGAAATGTGAAGAATAAACTATACCAGACACTTTGCGATGTTCAGTACTAAAGTCTTCACAGCTGGGAACCTACCAATTCCATTTCTCATGTCAGGTCGAAATACCCGGTTACCCCAGATTTGTGTCTTAACATCAAAGTCTGACCTATTTTTCTTTGTGATCACACTGGTGGTGATAAAATTGGTTCTATATTATTAATAAGATACAGCTTCCAGTATTCTATACTCTGAAAGATGAAATATATAGTGTATCCCTATTTTAAGGTAGTATTTCAAGATTTCAAGTATTAAAAGTGTTAAGTCATGTATATGAATGTTTTTCATGTGTGCCTGGTGCTTGCAGAGGCCATAAGCAGTGTCAAGTCCCATGGAGCTGGAGTTACTAATGTTTATGAACTGCCAAGTGGATACTGGGCATCGAATCTGGTTCTCTGCAAAAGCTGCCAGTGCTCTTAACTGCTCAGCCAACATCTCTCCAACCCCAATTGTCCAATATTTAAAAGACAAAAAAAAAAAAAAACAGAACCAGACAAAAGTTCTGAGCAGGCAGTAAACAGGCTAAGCCACTGACAATCAAAGGGATGACTTTTGTAAAGATGCTGCAATGGCCCTTTTGCAGCAAATAAAGCAGAGACATGTCTCTGAGCTGCCAGACATGGCACAGCTCCAAGAGCGCAGACTCTTCAGCTGCACAGCTCGGGGAGCACAACATTAGCTTTATAGTCCCTCAGTTCAGCACTCTCCTCCTAAGAATCGTGATGTCAACACTAAGCACCTCCACTCAAGACTACACTCCCAGTGTCTTTACAACCCCAAAAGATTGCTGACAGAAGAAAAAGCCTTCTGGAATAAACCACCATAGCATTCTCAGGCTGCTTTCCTCGGAGCCCTTAAGTTCCCCAAACTAAGTAGAAAGCTTAAAAACTTTTCCTCAGGAACAATGAACATTACATTAGGGCTGTTTTCAGACCAATAGATTCAGCTACAAGAGAAAGACATGGATAAAACATTTTATCTGTAAACCTATGCACCAGAAAATCTGTTTGAAAGATGATATACACAATTTATAAAGTTTACTAATGACAAGAATGAACCAACCTTAAAACTTTGATCTAGGTCATCTTCATTTTCGACTTCATTTTCAGCTTCTAAATCAGCATCATCATTGTCATCACTTTCATCTACTACGTCATCCACTGTGGTAAGAAACACACTGCAAGTCAGTCAGAGGCCAGGATGTACAAGGCAGATGTGCACAGCGCACACAGAATTCCAATCACCAAGAAACAGCAAGGTGATTTCTTTTTATAATTGAATTATTATGTTCATCTACTCAACACAAACTTCTTTTTTGTTCTTTGACAATTACTATATTTGGTTTTTTGTTGTTGATGTTTCCTTTTTAGATGCCTTACTAAAAACATCCATAAAGATAGCTCAGCCCTACAAACCTGAGAAAGTATGTGGAAAGTATGTGTTTCCGAGCCCTAAAAGTTGGAAACACTACAAGTTAAACGTTTCACTGCTAATGTTCTCAGTTACAAATGCCCTATGTTGCAGCAGCCCAGATGAAGCACTATGATAAACCTGAATGACTCACTTATTTCCATGACCATGTGTTACAAACTAGGAATTTTTTAAAGATATAATTCCTACCCTAAAGGAGGAATACCATGGGAAAACCAGGCAGACAGTAAGTGGCTGCAAACCTCACAGAACCAAGAGATGACCACTGACCATTTCACAGGGCAGCACCTAAAGGAGACCTAGGGGCAAGGTCTTATAAGAGGAAGTAAGAAAGTGAGATGACAGGCAATCATGAAAATAAATATGACTGGCATGTAGAGTGTGCTTGGTAAATGTAAGTAACAATGAAATGGGATGAAGATTACATGTCAGCTCAGGCAGTGAGACTTGAACCTACAGAATGCAGATGGGATTTCCAGGAAAAGAATGGCTTCATACAACTTGCATTTTCTGGCTTGAGAGGAGAGCATGAGTGAAGCAAGGCCAATCACGATGGACAGGTGAGTGTCCAGGCCAATGCAAGACAGGGAATGAAAGAAAAGGCTTCAAGAAACACTCAGGGAGTTCCATGAAAAGGGCATGGAGCGTAGCTGCGGGAGACAGTAGAAAAGCATCAGGCTGCTCACAGAGTAAGGGAAGTACTGAGAGCCACTTTCCTAAGCTCCCTGGCATCTGTACCCAGTGTGGCCTAGACAGAGATTACTGACTGCCCCCAGCAGTACCATCCTGCTTCGCCTAATGTTAGTAACAGAACCCTTGCATTTTAGCAGAGGAATTCCAGCCTTCACTCAACAGTGATATCAGCTCCTCAGGATAATTCCAGACCAGTGTAATGTGATGCAAATTGATAAACATACACTCTCCAAATAAGTCGTATTCTCTGGAAGAGAGGAGAAAGCCATCCTTTGTCGCGTACTTTCTTACAAGAAGCTACAAATGATCTCTGACGGCCTACTCCACTGTGATCTACTAGCCACAAACCACTCGCCAATCGAGCAAATGAGTGAAAGCTTTGCTCCCTGACCTAGACCTGATCAGCTAAGGTGTCCATCTCCATCTCCTACTCTGTGAAGTATGGGCACCGGTCTGGCATGGGACTCTTTAACAGCAGCTCAGTCTATCTTCACTAACACTGGTATCAAATGACTTAAATTTGGGGGATGCAGAGAGGTTTTATAAAAATAAAAACTAAAAAAGAAGGTAACACAGCACATGTAACAACGTGGATCTATTTACGCTGAGACCTAACAGCAGTCTGATGTGGGAGTGATTTCTTATTAATAAAGAAACTGCCTAGACCCATTTGATAGGCCAACCCTTAGGTAGGCAGGAAAACAGAACGGAATTCTGGGAGAAAGAAGCTGAATCAGGAGTCGCCATGGTTCTCCCACTCCAGACAGACGCAGGTTAAGATCTTTCCTGGTAAGCCAGCTCGTGGGCTACACAGATTAATAGAAATGGGTTAGATCAATATGTAAGAGCTAGCCAATAAGAAACTGAAACTAATGGGTCAGGCAGTGTTTAAAAGAATACAGTTTGTGTGTAATTATTTCGGGGCATAAGCTAGAGCTAGCCATGTGGGCGGCTGGGTGCCGGGGATGCAGCCCCGCTGCTCTTAATACAACAGAGTGGCGCCCAACGTGGGGCGCCAAATGTATCGGCATGAATAAACGCAGGCAAATATTAAAGAATATATACAAATTTAATGATTAAATAAAACTTACAGAACCGAGGTTCCCGCGTAGCACAGGAGGTAGGAAAGAAAAGGAGGAGCCGCCTCCCGCGCGCCCATATATTGGTACACATTCGCCCAAGGCAAACCCGCCCCCTAAAGGGGCTGGCTTAACCCTACATCTTTTTACATTTAAAGGGGGAAATGATATAGGTATGAATAATTTGCATTGGTATGGATTTTAAGGTCAATTTTGTTATATGTATATGTATTTCTCATCTTGATTAAGATATTGTGATTGTGTAGTTCATTTTTAAAATGTAATGTATAATTAGGAAATATAGGTTGTTGATGGATAATCATAAATAATAGTCAAGTTTGTAGTCATGTCACTTGGATTTTCTAGATATATAGAGATATATTTCAGATAGGCATTCTTCAAATCTCTCAAAGGCTGCAGAATATGGCATTTAAAATATTTTAATAACTTAGGGTTTTTCATAACAATGAGACATGTCTGCTCCTGGCAGCCCCAGCTACTTCAAGAGGAAGATGGGCATTGAAGAGGCTCCTTATGGAGTTTGATAGCCATTTGGGCAAGAAACTGTTCTTGCCTGGACTGTTGCATAAACTGGACAAAGAGAACCCGCAGAGAGAGGACTGCTGAACTTGCCTAAAGGTGAGATGATCTTTCGGGGTTCCTGACTCATGAAAGAGTCTACAAGACATTCTGCAGGACACAGTAGAAAGTGACTGAACTGTCTTTGGAATTTCCTGCTTGATGAAAATGTCTGCTGGATACTATGGGCCTGAAGGCTGAAGATGGATGCCCCAACGGTATAAAAGAACTTTGGGTGACTGTCCAGGCAGCGAGATGTCTTTGTCATTTCTAGAGTTTGAAGTTTCTTAGTTCTTGTTTACTTAGGTAATATTATATCCTTCTGGAGTCTTTGATGGAGTTGAAGAATGGATAGGTAGTTATAGTTTTCCATTGTTATGATAAAAGATAAAATAGATACAAATACTGTAACTGTAATTCTTGCTTGATAACTGTTTTGTTATATGTAATTTTACTATGTTAAAGTTAAAGCCTTTCTTTTTTGTTTAAACAGAAAAAGGGGAAATGATGTGGGAGTGATTTCTTATTAATAAAGAAACTGCCTAGACCCATTTGATAGGCCAACCCTTAGGTAGGCAGGAAAACAGAACGGAATTCTGGGAGAAAGAAGCTGAATCAGGAGTCGCCATGGTTCTCCCACTCCAGACAGACGCAGGTTAAGATCTTTCCTGGTAAGCCAGCTCGTGGGCTACACAGATTAATAGAAATGGGTTAGATCAATATGTAAGAGCTAGCCAATAAGAAACTGAAACTAATGGGTCAGGCAGTGTTTAAAAGAATACAGTTTGTGTGTAATTATTTCGGGGCATAAGCTAGAGCTAGCCATGTGGGCGGCTGGGTGCCGGGGATGCAGCCCCGCTGCTCTTAATACAACAGCAGTCTCTCATGGATGCAGTGAAAAGAGCTGATATGCGGATAAAGAACAGGAGCAAACACTCTTCAGGAAAATACGCACTAAATCAACAAAAGCCTATTGCGAAGAGGAAAAACACCACTTCAACAGTTCAGAGCTGGAGGAAAAAAAATGTCTTCAATTTGGGGCCAAATGTTCCAAGTATTTCCCTTTAGGTACATGCTCCAATGTGAAACCTCACACAGCTTCAGAGCATCTGAGGCTCTCTCATGGCGTTGCACTGGTAAGGACTAACTACACCTTCAGCATACAATCAAAACCAGTGGCTAGAAATCAAAACTGTCATCTGCTTTCTTGTCTATATTAACAACAGCAGTGCAGGGAACAATTTCTACATGTTTCTCTGATAGCTTAGTAAGGCAAATACAGGGCATCCCTGGGATGCCTCCACTAAGGGAATGAGCCAGCAGCTCCTAAAGGACTTAGAAACTATAAACATTGTGCCTATAAACATGGTCCTCTTCCCCTCTTGCGTTGTGTATTAGATCTACAGATATGGATATATTTGTGTATACAAATACATTGTTAGGTAGTACATTATATGCTGTGTGTACGCACACACAGGTTTGATTCTATATACATGAGATACAGACACGGGAAAACTACTATATTTTACTCATTTTTCTTGTGTACCTGGTGCTATTAAATTTTTTGTTTGTCATGGTTCCCTAGGTAACACTGTAACAATACCTACCACAATTCATACATCACACCCTCTCAATAGGTAGTCCTTTCTTTCTCTATCTTTCTCTACTGACTTAGCTAATGATTTGAGATACATCTTTTAATATTTCAGTACTATTTCTGAGGCATGGTATAGATAAAATTTAGTAATACTGTTCAAAATAACTGTCAATTTCCTTAATAAACTTTATCTGGAATCTATTCATGATATTTACTGAAACAACTGGCTCCCTTATTTTGACCTACTAATAATATATGTCACCCATTTTAATAATAGAGTGAACTTCGTTTCTTAAAAATAATCATAAATAAACACTGCCCAGTTCAAATTGCTTTATTTTAGAATTTTCACATTTGTTTTGATTAGCGAGATTTAGCTGTGGATTGTTTCTGGTAATCCTTACCAGGTTTTGCTTTCAGCATCATGCTAGCTTCTAAACTTTTCTTTTTTTTCTATGCTCTGGAAAATAAAGCATAGGAAAACCCCTTGAAAGTTGAGAGAACTAACCTATGACATCATCAACAGTTGATATCACCAAACAAACTTGACTACATACTCCATTTTAGACATTTTACTATTCCAGTCAGTTTTAGTCAATTATATGTCCCTAAAATACTAGTTCAATTATATATTCAAATGTATTCTTGAGAGTGTTCTCTCCAGCAGGATTCTGATTTACATACCCAGGGACTTAGGGGCACATTTACCCATCATCCACTGACTACTCACGGAGGGCAGGTTGAACTTGACTGGATGGAGCAGCACCTGTGTGTCCAGCACAGATACAACAGCATGGTTGTCCTGTCTTACATTCGCTTCCTCCTGGGTCTATACTCTGTGTAAACAGTGCTTCTGCACCTCTTTGGGGAAATGTACACATTTCCTAGTTTCCTTTCAAGCTGTCTAACCTACTGCTTTAATCTCCAGACAGTATCTGCCCTTTTACTCAATGTAAAGGTCCTGATCTTTTCATAAAATTTTGTTGTTGTTGTTGTTGTTGTTTTTGACTTTTTATTTAAGATAGTGTCTCGTTATACAGGTCTCGTTGGCCCAGAAACCACTTTGTAGACCTGGCTGGCATCAAATGCAAAGATCTGCCTACCTACCCCTCCCAAGTGCTGGGATTCAAAGCCCCACACAGCAGCCTTTAATAGGGAGTATTTAACCTGTTTTAGATTTACTATCAAAAGGGACATGCTTGCTCATGTTTCACAGTCAGATCTCTCAGTTTGTTATTCATCTCTGAAACTCCCTTGCTTTTACATAGCAGTGGTGGGTTCATTCAAGAAAAACAAAGGCTCCCGAAGTTTTACCAAGAATGACACAGGGGCAGGCTCTAAAATGCCTGTGTGTTCCTTTGGACCAATGAGGTCAGCATAAACACCTCTGTTGAGGAGGTTACATATGAAAATGTACATTTCTGCAATTACAATTTTAGAAATGTAAGAATTGTTATTAGGACATCTATCAACATGAAATGGATTTGTTCATGTAGAAGCTCTGTTTATGGTAACGACATAACATTGTGAGCCTTGTACTAAAAGTGATTATTATGTCACGGTGACAAGGCAGCCGCTGTCAGGTGTTACAGAGTGGGCAGGTTGTAGCATTTAGTACAGCTGCTCTTCTGCAGGGTCCTCTGCATCCTCAACATCTAAACTCATCACTCGACTGGCTGCAGTATACTCTAGTAATCACGTCAGGAAGGGCTTAAGGTGCACAGCTCCATACCCACATATCTAAGAGCACACCACCTTCATGATGAAAGCTATAAAGGTTCAGAAACCTCAAATGAGAACTGATCCTTCAGATACATCTCCATAGATAGTACTTCACTACCTTTTGGTACTTACTAATCAAGAAAGCAAGTCCTGAGTCCAGCTCCAGCCACTCAACAAAGGTGTACCCTCATAACCACCCATGCAATTCAAAGGATGCTAAGGAGGAAAATAGGAGCTAAAACAGTGCTGCTGTGATACGGAGCTATTCCATTTTGTCCTGAGTTCCCATGCCCCTGGGATTTCCTGGGTGGCAGGAATGTCTTCTGTTCTAATGAGAGGACCCTTGGTAGAAAAGAATCCTAGGTAGCTTCAGGATGGAGGCTGGGAACGTCACACCTGTTTCTCAGCCTCTACGGAGGAAGGAGGACCTACAAACGAATTAGTCATCCACATCCAATGGTTTAATCGAGCATGCCTATTTCATGAGACCTCCATAAACTTTCTAAAGAACGTGGCTCCGGGAGCTCCTGGGCTGTGGACACAGAAGACACTAGGAGGAGGATGTGTCTGCAAGAGCATGGCTCCTCTGCTGCGCTTCCTGCTGATGTACCTGAGTTATGTCCTTTATAACAAATAATGTACAGAGTGTTCCTGACTGATGTGAGCTGTCCTAGCAGTTTACCAATACTGCCAGTGGTGTGGTAATGCCCTAACATCTTTACAGTCAGTCACTCCAAAACAGAGGAAGCCTGGACACGTAGCAGCAGTCTGAAGTGGAGAGTGTCTTGTGAGATGGAGCTCTAGTTCTGTGGTGTCCATACTAAGTCAAGTAGTATGCCATCTCAGCGTCCAGAGTATCAAATTTGTTGATTATTATAGACAAGAAACAGTCTAGACCTGTCCCAGAGGAGGTCACATTTTAGCTAGGGATGCTAAAAAAAAGTAATTCTGACACACTAGAAAGTAATGGAAAACAAAATGAGAACATCCTCCTTGGCCCAAGACTCTCCATCAGACTCTTCCCATCCCACTTTGAAGGCTTGTGAGTTAACAAATAAATGCATTTCTAGTTTAGTGATTCGTCACGTCTGAGACACACCGGAAAGGAGCCCACAGGAGGGTATCACCTTTCTCATGTTTTCCATGCCTGGTGAACTCACTACATTGCAGGTAAACTGCTGCTATCCCATAATCTGGACTCTGACTAAACATCAGGACATATTCTATTTCCTCCCTGTTGTTACTTTCTGCTGCATCATAGAAGAGTTTCCCAGCCTCCTAGCAGCGAGAACCACCATCTAACTCCTACTGCTCACACCTCCACAATCCTGTATTTAGACAGAGGAAAGATAGAGTCCAAAACTCTTTGATTGCCCCTCCAAATTAAATGATAGTGGCATTACTGGAGTCAGAGACGCCACGCGTCAGAGTGGGAGGACTGTGCTCATCCTGGGCCTGTCTCTACCACTGCAGCATAACTTTTATAAAGACTCCTCTGCCTGCCTTTCAGAATTGCTACAAATGTCCTCACTTTCAAAGTCTGTGGGAAATTTCAAAAGAACAGAAAGAAGAAATTAAAAAACTATTTCACTCAACTCTCTAGACTCAATCTTGTTGACTTTTAAACTTTGTGTGTTTTAAATTTTTATCAAACACACACACACACGCATACACACACACATACACATACACACACACCTATAGAGGTCAGGGAGTAATTTGCCAGAGTCCACCAACTCCTTTTACCATGTGGGTCCTGAGGATTGAACTCAATTCACCAGGCTTGGCATAACATGCCCTTACCTATAAGCTAGCTCACCAGCCTAATTTTTGAAAGGTATTTTTCTAAATGAGGTATTTTGGTATTTTATATCAATTAAATCTCTGTTTAGATAATTAGATCTTATTATTGAATAATAATAAACCTTATAAAAATAACTTTTTCAAAGACATAGTAAGAAAAAATTCTATGAATATCCATGTAAGCATTGCAGCTGGGATGGGAAGGGAACCTGGCAGTAGGGAGCCAAGGAAGACCACAAAGTCACCTAAGTGTAGCAGCTTACAGCCCTGCTCCAGGGAAGAGTTTCTAACAGCTCCGCTCCACTAGGGGAAAGCTTCCCCAGCAAAAGGGTTGAAGGTTCTTTACAGCTGGGCTCCACTCTGGCAAAAACATCACACTGCACAACAAACCTCACTAAAGAGATTTATTGAGAAGGAGGAATCCAGCAGGGTGACTGCCTCGAGTGAGAAACAGCAGCAAACTGAACAAGGTACAGACCTTATTATATAGGGCTTCTGGGGCGGGGTGGATTTTTGTGGTATGATTCTGGGGCAAACTCAGGGATTGGTGGCATTTCCAACTCAGGGACTTCAGGAATTGGTGGGATTCTGCAACCTGACAAGGGGACAAGTTCAAGGTTTGATATTTCAAGTCCTGGTCCTGGGGTCAACTCAGGGTCAGAGTATTTTCCTTTGGCCTTGGGTCTAGTCAGAGGCAGGGCAGTTTTCCCCTTGGTCCTTTTTACCATGCAATTCTTTTTTTTTTTTTAACAGAGGAGAAAGGTTTATTTGGATTACATGAAATACCATCATCAAAGGAAGCTAAAGGAGGAACTCGACTACAAACCACCACCAGTAAAAACCACATTGGAGTTAAAATTCTCCCATATTACATACCTACAGTGTTACACTAAAAGTGAAAAACAGCCTCAAGTCATTTCACTTTTTGTTCAAGTAAGTTATTTGTTCAATTTTTGCTAATTGTGATAATTAGGTTTTTAGCTTATGGGAGTAGCAATCAGGCCAGCGATGTTACTCAGTGGGGCTGCCAGTAGCCTGATGTCATGGTTGATCCCTAGGGCCCGTGTGGGCAAAGAACCAGCTTCTGGACGCTGTCCTCTGACATTCACATGTTCACTTAGCACAAGCGTGAATGCAGGTGGCACACAACACACATGCTCATCATCACCCTCATCATCATCATAAGTTACACAGGTAATCCTAAACATAATGAAGGACCTAAGCATCTGAGTCACCATCTTACACTCTGAAAATTTACACTGATTTATTGACTGATTTCCTGTTTTCACAACTCTCTCTGACATACATGCAACACAGTACTTCTCTTAATAGACTACAAGTTCTTACTTATAAAGAAGTGCAGATTCATCCTGCTCACATTCACACCCATGCAAGAGCCCACAGCAACCAAGGCCCTACCTTCAGGGGGTAAGCTGTAGAGCTGAGCCACAGGTCCAGTCACAGGGATGACCGGCAACTCGAAGTGGAAAGAGCTTTTAATGGTTGGTAGTGGCAAGCGGTTTTTGGGGAAACACTTCCTCATTATCAGACTAGAAGTGTTGACAAGAGGATCAAGGGTCCTGACGGCCAAGCATTCCTGTTCAAACAAGAATATGTGAGTTAGTGAACAGCTCAACACCACTATACTCAAAATGTAACACAATAATGATCTCCTAGCATAGACATCACACAAAGTAATACTGTAACACAATGTAGTTATAGAATGGCATTACTCTTCAGACATAGCTGTACTCTGGAGTCACGTGACTAACTCAGTAGGATATTTCCTTAAATGTTCACTAGGCAAAAATCAGTACTTATCTTTGGCAATGAAAGTCATCAAGTAGAGTCACTCAGATACTTGGCCTAGCATGAAAAGAATACAGAGGCACTGGGAACTGGTAAGAACTAAAGAATCGTGTGTACTGACTGCGCCTCTCAGAGCCGTAAGGCAGCAGTGGGAGCAGACCCCACTTCCACTGCTAGGAGCCTGGCTGGTTGGCCAATTGTCAAGTACAGGTGATCTGATACCATTGCCAGCGACAACTGGCCTTTCAGTGGTACTTTTGACATACTGCACAATCTTCAGCACATGACTGACTTAATTAAACAGTCAAATTAAGGTGCGAAAGTGTTAAAACCACCCAATTCATCAACAAACATCAAATAATTACTGTATGCATCCAGGTGATAAAAACAGGCATCTAGGATTGTTCTAGAAAAATGAAAACACTCAGAATAAACAAGCCAAGTGTTTAGAAACCTTAAGCACCATCATGCAGAAAGGTTGTTTATTGTGGGGAAAACCAAGAGAGTGCAACTTAAACAGATATCCTGTCATTTCAAAGGGCAGAATATGGCTGCCCTGCAACTGCCCTCCACCCTCTGATGGTGTCTCCTACAGGATCACTGGACTGCTCTCGGGGCTGTGTGCCCTCTACCCTCTGATGGCATCTCCTACAGGGTCACCGACGTGCTGTCAGGGCTGTGTGCAGCTAAGATGCTAGCAGGGCTGGCATGCTACTTGTAGCTCTCATCTCTCTCTGTACCCTATATTGAAAACTTGCCATGGTCAGGGCCCACGCTAACAGCAGAACTGCCCTGAAGCTAGAGCATCCTCCGATACCTTGTGAGAGTGCACAAAGCTAAGCCCATCTAGTCACCCCTGCAGCACAGCTCTATGGAGCTTTCCCACTGTGTGCACGGTTTATACAGCTGCGGTGTGAGACCCATGCTCTAGGCATGAGCTCTTGCCACGCTCTCTAATCATCTCTGAGGTCACATGTGAAAACCAGTTGGGATTATTGGTTTTACAAAATTTTAAAATATATGTACACTTTCCTGAATACTTACATAATAGTTCATTTTTCTAAGAGCCAAAACAATTATCATTAGTGCATAAGCAGAATTGAGAATAAAAGTGACTTACTTGTGAAGTGTTGTACAGAATTTTCATCCCATTTGCATCAATAAATGCTTTCCTTCCCAATTTGATGTTTGTGACACTTTTCAAGCTCTGTAAAATTCCCTTCCGAATAAGCATGTTTCTATGCCGGTTATCATGGCGGTGCCAATCTACATAAATTGTTAAAAGCACTTGAACATATCCTCTGTCTACGGCTCTCCTGGCATTTGTTTCTTTAACAAGAGAAAATTGGGAAAGGTTATTTTATATGACAGGAAAAAACTTTAAAATGAATCGAACAAAAAGTAAAATATCAGTATTGTGATAAATTCCTAGCCTTTGAAAAAGAACAACAACATATTTAAATTTTTTCTAACAAAATAATTACAGCAAGTTCCAGAAATCATTCCAATTTCTACACACATCCTTGCCTAATTATGTTATCACGGCCCACAGCTGAGCCTCCTTCCTCGCCAGGCTTGGGGGCACACCTGCAGAGCTCACGAGGCAAAGGCAAGATCACAAGTGTGAGACTGTCTCAAACAAAAAAGAAAACTGAAAAATGAGTGCATTTACTAAGACAAGGTCTATAATTTTTTTAAATGTTATACTGATTTTAAAACTCCATATATTTTGAAACTTATACGGGCCTTTTTCATAAGACAAAAGCATAACGCTTTTATTCACTGGCTGAGCGTGACTGTGCTTAAAGCAACTGCCACTCTTGCTTATTTTTACTACAGACTCTGTGTTCCAGTTAAACTAACCCTACTGGATTATAGCTCATTGCTTAGAAAATTTATCTTCCCAGTGAAATTAGCTGTTCTAGATATTTCACAATTGTATAGATATCCACTCCTTAAAACACAAAAATTAAAATACAACTTGTTTTATATAAGAGGTAATAGTGTGTGATTAGAAAATAGTTCTTTCTAGGTACTAAAATCTTAACATAAAAAAACTAAGTTTTCTGAAGTAAGTCAATCTTAATGGACTACAACTGTAAGAAACCCTAAATTTGAACTGACCTTCTTACACTTAAGATTACTACCCAGAAGAACACACCTACTAAAGCAGCAGCCATGGAACACCTCCACGGCACCACACAGCGCTACCAGAGCTACTGTGGTAGGCCTATGAGAACTGCAGGAGCAGAGGAGTGGAGCCGACCCACCTAGGGCTGCTGAGTTACAAACTCTAATCTCTTCTTAACCTCAGATTTACCCACTAAGCAGCCTTGGCTTATGTTATGGACCCCAAGATGCTGCTGCCTTTAACTGCCTAACAGGATCATCAGTTCCAGCACATGGCTTGTGTAACTCGTACGCTGGTAACGATGCTCTGAATGTTCCTAAGGAGGAGGTGGTTTCCGAGGTGAGCATTGTCAAAGCTTACTGTAAATTAGATGTGTAGTGCACATCTGACATCAGCACCGGGGTGGTGGAAACAGGAGGATTGTCAGCTTGGGCTATTATGAGACCTTGTCTCAGACAAGAGAGAAAAATAAAACCAAACAAAAAAGACCCTCTACTGTATCTACAATAGCTAATTTCCTATGAGGCTGTTATTTATATTATCAGTTCAATTTCTTGATTTGATCGACAAAACTTTCTTGTATTTTAGACTAGGGATCTAACTTAGTTGATAAAGTGCTTGCCTATCAGGCACAAAGTCCTGGGGTTCAGCCCCCCACACCACATAAACTGGGCAAGCTGATGCACATCTGTAATCTTGGCACTCAGGAAATGCAGGCAAGAAGATCAGGAGTTCAAAGTCATCCTTTTCTACACAGCGAGGTCAGGCCAGCCTGGGATGGATCAGACATTGTCTCAACAACAACCGAGAGTTTTAAGTGAGTGCACACTTTTGCTCACACCACTTGAAATTCACACGCCTTTAGTAGCCGCAAAGAAGACTTAGTTAACAACTTTTTGGCTACTGCAATATTTAGAATTTTGTTTCTGCTAGAATCCGCAACAGCCTAAATGATACTTAGGGGGAATGTTTATATTTTAAAATGAAATGCCAAATAAAGGATTCATTATCATTCAAACATGGGTGCTGTACTGGCCCTTAAAAAATGATGAGAGCTATCTACAATCTTCACTGAGCACAATTAAAACAAATCAATGAAAGAGTTTTGCTCAAACTCAGGGTACAAAAGTCCCTAGGAGTCTGTCTGTCTTTTCCTCTCAAAGCACAAAAACCTCAAGTTTTCCATTAAGCTGCACCATGTGATGTGTGTCCCAGTGAGGCCCTGCACACACTACTGTCACACTCACTCCTCCTATACACACTTCCCTTACCACATTACTTCAGAGAGCAAATCTATCCTCTGAGCTAAGTGCCCACAATAAGCAAGTTTTAATATAAGAGAGGATACTCCAAAATGCGCTGGTCCATTTCAAACTATGCAGCCTGCTACATGCTATTTTGCATTATTAGGGTCCTGTGTTGTGTACCCCGTGTGTGCAGTGCAATTGGAAGAGATATTAAATACAAACTACTCATCAGATGCTTGGCTTCATCAAGTGGTCTAAGTTTCTCACATCACAGACAAGAGGAGTTACCCCACTGAGACCCGTCCATTCCATCCCAAGGGTGAAAGTGTCAATGAGAATTCTGGTAAACAACAAAAAATGTATTTTTAAACTTAATTTAGCTCTTTTTTTTATAAAAACACAGAATCTTACTATGTAGCCATGACTGACCTGAAGCTCACTATGCTGACATCAATGACCCTGCCTCTGACTCCCGCCACTGTGCCAGCAAGATCACACTTTAATCATGTTACTCTTAAAAATATATAGCCTTAGAAACTTAGCAAACAAGGTGGCCCCACCCCAGACAATAGTTTCTGAACAACTGCCTGTTATGTACTGGGAGAGGGGGCATATAAAAATTTATCAACAGAAATTTGAAGAGTAAAAGTCAATATTAAATGTTAATTAAGCAACTGGTCATATGGGCGAATACTATGACAATGTTTCAAAGACATACTGAGCCTGTTGGTGAGAAAAACCTCAATACATGTAGCACGTGTTCCCCAACAGCATCAGAAGACACATCTCCCATGTTTCAGCTCTGAAGACAGAGTGAGTTCTGTGCAAACAAATTTATCACTGCTATAAATTTATATCATGTCACTTTTTAAATGGTATTAATGTGAACTTACAAAAATTAGTAAAAACAAAATTCCTAATAAAAATTACTATGTTAATTTATGTGCTATGAAGATATGCATTATAATGACATGCTTATTGAGCTAGTTTATTCCATCCATCTGGATAATTTATTCAAGCACATTTTTATATTTCTTACTTACTGACATAAGCATAAAGCCTTGCCATTAAAATAAAATAAGTAAATGTCATATAAACATCATTTTCTGAGAAATAAACCTCATACAATATCTGTAACTTTGACTACAAGAAACTAGTTTAACTATATACACTAAATCTAATTTCCAACTTCTTGAACATAGATTATAGTTAGTTTAATTACTATTATTTCTAGTATTTAGAAACTTACTTGATTTTAGCAATGCAGCAAGAGTGTCTAAAGCAACCCTGTCAACACAACAAGAAAACACAAACAACAACAAAACTAGTGAAATGAATCTACAATAAAGGCATGCAATCTTGTCAAATATCATTTTGTCCATTATCCATTCCAAATCATTTACTCTTGCAACAGCACTGATTATCTAGTGTTTTCCTTGTGTATATCTACCTCCCCCTCAGTTTAAAATTATTTAATTAAATAAAATTAAAATAGTCAAAGTACTTGTAAAATTTTAATAAAATTAGCATTGTCTTTATGTCAGAAATTAGATAAATGAAATCAATTACAGTATCTGCATTTGACTTTTGAGAGTACACAAACAGCAAAAGAGATGTCACAGGGGCCCCGGTTACAAAAGAATTAATAAGAACAAGTTATAATGGTCTAGTTCAGACCTACAGGGTGCTTGCTACAGGTGTCTCTAACTTTCCTAAGTAACGGCTGTTCAGTGCCATGGGCTAGCATCCTTAGACATGAGGGATAACTGTAAACTGTGCAACTTAGAAGCAAAGCTAATTATTACCCCTTCACAGGACACAGAAAGAGTCCTAAAAGTTGAAGGTACATACATTTTCTTGAATATACTCAGTTACACACAATTATATCAGCTGTCAATAATCAGCCACAAAGACACCATTATCTATCACTGTAGAAAGTCTGTAAATCAAATGGTTTATAAAAAAGTGGGTTACTAGGGGAAAATGTTTCAACTTCAGAAATACAACCCTACATAGTATAATATCTCCTCGTAAGATGTTAGCAACTACAATTTTCACTAAAATATGTGTACTATCAAGATTAAGCATTTCACTCACCATTAAGCATTTGTTGAATGCCTACTACACACTCCTTCATTTATAGAAGTTAAAACAACAGATAATTTTATAGTCTACATTACATAATAGATTGCACACATCTATGAAAAACTTAAGAAATTAAGTCTCTGGTGATGAAGCAGTGGGCGCACAAGTTGTGGTAGAGACGAAGCTGTGACCCTATGAAGAGATGCATGGACGGTTAAGTGACCAGACGGTCTGCAATGCATGAATACTGACTCACAGTTAAACCTAAAAACAATCACTCAACTACACCAGAAACAGATGTTTCATGAATGTGGAAGCTACAGAATCTAAACTACAGCATGCCAAAACACACATAAAAAACCCCATAAAGAAACTAAACTAATAAAAGTCACTTGTTGATAAAGGCAATTACAAAATCAGAAAAGAGTACCTTTAAAGAATTCAGCAAGGGTTAGTGTTGAGCAAGGGTTACTGTGGCCACTGCAATGCTCCCAAGAGCAAGCAGGAACATACTGGGTGGCCAGGCAGCAGAAGCAGTCACCTAGAAAGAACTTCCTGTTTGGGCAAAGGCCTCTGTGTTTATCAGTCAGGAACGGAACACTTCTCATGAAGAGGTGCTGCTGCTGCTGTTGCTGCTGACCACCTGCAGTTAATCCCAAGGGCTAGGCTCTCCTTTGAGACACCGAGGTTGCCAGGACCATTCAGTGGGATCTGCATGTTACTCATCTACAGTCTTGCTGTGGTGGACAAGTCTAAAACATGTCTATTTGGAAGACAGAATAGACACATCTGGGAAATAAAGGAGACTGTCTGCTGTTCTGCAGGCAATGCTGAGAAGTTAGTCATGCATTACTGATGTGCCAAGAGCCTGCCTGATAGAAAGGTTCCTTGTCTGATGTGTAGGGGCTGGATATCCATGATTCTTACAGGAGATTATGCAGGAGTTCACCAACCAGCACCATCTTACCCTCAAAAACAGGGAACACACTGCAGTCCTCTTTAGAATGGAGAAATAAAGGAGATTCTGTAAGAATACCCCAGGGCTTAAAAGCACAATGGTCTGCAAGCCTGGCAGCCTTCTGGAATGTTGAAAATTCCCAACCTACGGAGTTATCACATTATAAAGATTGCGTGTAACAACAGCAACATGGATTAAACTGTTCTTACAATTCATATCCTCTTATAACCTTAAAAGTAACAAAAACAACCTGTGGGTCTGTAGACATAGAGCAGACACACAAAACTACCTACCGAGCCTAGAAGGAAGAACACCTGCACACACCAACTATTCTCTAGCTGCTCACTCCCTGAGGAGGGACAGTATGCTATGTCAGATGGATGTGTCATATTGCAGGGTGAAATCAAAGAGAACTAGGGACTCTGTTTCTCTGTGGCATCTTAACTTTTATTATGTTATTATGCATCCCTCTACACCGTGGTACAACCACTGAAGGGTACAGATCTGTGGGAGAGCACCTGACCATCATGGACAAAACCCTAGGTTCAATCCCTGTTAGCAAGGGGGAGATTAGTACATAAACAGACAAAATATATATTCCTCTGAGCATTTAACAATAAAAAGCTAAAAGATCCATTGAATTCTTTGCATCTTTACATCAAGGAGGGGGATGTCACTGTGTATTTCTTGCCATGTCAATATAACATTCTCTCTATCAAACTTTTTACTGCAGATACTATCATGACCACCTGAAAGAGCAACCTCAGATACAAGTACACAGAAAGAAATCAGTATATAAAAGACATTTCAAGGGACAAGGTACAATGAAGACAGCTGACAATATGGTGACGAAAGACCAGAACTTTCATGAGCTATTAACAAATGAAATGAACTTCTTCACTGTTACAAGCTGAACTATATTCCACATCTCTAACCTCAGGATCTAACCTCACCAGGAAACAGGGTCAGTAAAGATGAAATCCATTAATAGGAGGTCATGCTGCAGGTAGGCGGGCTCTTACTATCGTTCGCAGGACACCCTTAAAGAAGACGTTAAAACAAACACATGGAGAATCCATCTACTGAGGATGAAAGCAGAAGGCTCGAAGCTGAGACTGCCAAGGATGGCTCAAAAATCGCCAGCAAACCAGCACAACTGGTGAGAAGGCAGGAGTAAGGCTCTCTCCACGGTTTCAGAAGAGGACAGCCTGCTGAGGATCTGAGACTGGGCATCCAGGCTCTTCAGCTGTGAGACAGTAAACACCTGTCATTTCCAGCCACCAAATCAGCCTGGGAAGCTGATGCAATGAAATGAACGCTATTACTTACTCATCTTTAGCTAACTCTTTACAAGTGAAGGGGGGGGAGGGGCAGAAGAGGGAAGCAGGTGTCCTGGAACTGGAGTCACAGGCAGTTGTGACCCACTGAACAAGGGTGATGGGAACCAGACCTGAGCCTCTTGCAAAGTAGCAAGCACATGTTGACCACTGAGCAGTCTCTCAATCGAGTCAATGGCTAACTTGATTCCAAACTGTAAAAGCTGGCAGCTGTTTTCTTCAGGGAGAGAAGCTGAAGCGCGCGCACAGCCCCAGCACCAGTGGCTCTGAGCTTCACCTCCACAGTTGCATCAGATAAAGAAATTAGCAGCTTGCAATCATCTTGAAACTTTTATCAAAACATTATCCAAAAGGTATAAACTTGGTGTCACTGCCAGTGCCCCTCAGTCTGCCCCAGCCATGCAACTGTCAACCACATTCAGAGGGACTAGTTTGGTCCTATGCTTGTTCCTTCCCAGTCTGGCTGGAGTTGCTGCGCTCCCATTAGTTCAGGTAGACTGTTTCAGCGGGTGGACACATCATGGCTTTGACCTCTTTGCTCATATTCTCATTCCTGCCACTCTTCAACTGGACTTTGGGAACTCAGCTCAGTAATCCAATGTGGGTCTCTGCCTCTGTTTCCATCAGTTGCTGGATGAAGGTTCTATGGTGATATTTAAGCTATTCATCAGTCTGACTACAGGACAAGGTCAGTTCGGGCACCCTCTCCTCTACTGCTTAGGGTCTTAGCTGAGATCATTCTTTTAGATTCCTGGGAATTTTTCTAGAGCCAAGTTTCTTGCTAATCCTATAATGGCTCCCTCAATCAATAAACCTCTTTCCTTGCTCTCATCTCTGTCCTTAATCCTTCTGAACTATCCCATTCCCTCAAGTTCTCCTCACCTGTCCCCTACTCCCCTCCTCTTCTCCTTCCACTCTCCCTTCTCCCCCAACCCCCATGCTCCCAATTTTGTCAGGCGATCTTGTCTGTTTTGACTTTCCAGGTGGATCTACATGTGTTTTTCTTAGGTTCACCAGGATTTATCCCTACTGCATGTACTGGCTTTTTGGGAACCTGTTCTCTCTGGATGATACCTTGCTCAGCCTATAATATAGTAGGGAGGGCCTTGGGCCTTCCTCAAAACAATGTGTCTTACCCTCTCTGAGGATTGGATGGGATGGGGTGGGAGAGTATGTGGAGGGAATGGGAGGAGAGGAGGGAGTGGGAACTTGGATTGGTATATATAATGAAAAAAGACAGTTTGTTTTCTTTTTTAAAAAAGAAAACAAAAGGAAAAAGTATAAACTTCAGCATAAAATTCTGAAACTCTGTGACATTAATAAGCCAATGTCGATTCCTAAAATAAATTCTAAATACTAAACTTAAAAGACAATATGAATTTTTAAAAATTATAAAAATCCTTACATATTTTAAATGAATGATTCATATTGGGTTAACTGATTAAAGTTTCTCAGTTTCCAAATATTTATACTTTCTCCTACAGTTTTCCAATTTTTGTATTTTCCACCCAGAAGAATACTCACAAGAACCCAAAGGGCAGTCCACGAGCAAGGAGGAAATAACAGGGAGAGCAGTTGTTAATGAAGTTAGCACACCTACGTTAAGTTGAAGGTCAAGCCCAGCAATGACCTTCAATGTGAGGTGAGCCCTAATACAACTTGACTGCTCTCCTTGTAGAAGAGCTTACCCAGGAAATCTCATCTATTTCCCCTTCCCAGGGAAATACATGTGTACCTCTTTGGCTCTCCTTGTTACCTAGCTTCTCTGGAGCTGTGGACTGTAGTCTGATTATCCTTTACAGTTAATATCCACTTATGAGTGACTATATACCGTGTTTGTCTTTCTGGGTCTGGGTTACCTCACTCAGGATGATTTTTTCTAGTTCCATCTATTTGCCTGCAAATTT